TAGCAGATCGATTTTCTGTTAATTTATATGCAAATAACTTGTTCGAAGAATTCAGTGTCTATTGAAATAATTTGATTTAGATAATTTCTCGAATATTTTTTTCTCAAAAAAGTCCATGCAGTCTGCCTTTTTATTTCCATGTGCATAGGACAACAATAAGGATTGCGATGTTTCATTGTAACTTACTAAGAATAATATTTGATTTCATAAAACTTCTTGTTTTAATCTCGTTTGTAATCTATTATCATCATTAATGATTCTATCTTTGGTTGTTCAAGCAATCGTTTAGGAATTAAGAAACCATCATAAGCGGATCACTGTTTTCTTGTTAGATTTGATTGTACAATCGTCAATGACGAATAGCAATCTAATCATTTCTCTTTATTCACCAGTCGACGACACGTTTGAACAAATCGATCTTTTTTTTGTCGTTTACTGTTTTATAAAATCATTGATTGATCGATCGATCAGTAATGTCACCGTTTGATATTTCGTTTAACTAAGTGTCGAATAAAACGATGATTGAATTATCTTATCTTGTTCATGTGTTGCGTTGCATTGTCAACAGAATTTCTAGCAGATTTATGTTCAGCTTGGTACTGTTTGCTAGTTAAAAATTTTTTGTTTGTTACACAAGAGGTTCATTAAGCTAAGCAGTTGTTATTGTATTTCGTCGAGTTTCTCGCCATTGTCTTTCTCCTAGCATTGATCGGTTGAGTCCCTTGCCACCCGTTCGGCCAAGTGACATTTGAAAGAAAAATATACTATTCGACACTTTTTGAAATACGATTGTAAATGGGTGTGGAAGAATGAAACGTTAACAGTGAATCAAGATTCTCCAAGGACGGTCTCGCAGACCATGGGTGTGGGTGAGTTTAAGATGTGAGTCTAGATGCTTGTGTAAGGATTTATGTGTGTACTTATGGGTCTTCTCATAACTCAAATCCATAACCTCAAACTGAAGTACGTTTATTCGAAATTTTAGTTCAGTATAAATGAAAAATGTTATTATGCATTTCAAAACTTGAATAAGAAAATTCATGAAAACGAGTCCTTTCAAGACTTTTTACTCATTACAATGATTCATAGGAGAACTATTAAAGATTCAACGAGTTTATCCAATATTTGTGGGCATATCATTTAATAGTGTTTAACATGTTTTAATTCAATCTAAAAGATATTAAAACTTTGAAGAGTAAAGTTTTGTATGTACTCTTTTTATTTCATGTTGAAAGAAAAATACTGTAATTAATACAAGGGAGAAAAGGCGGATTCTCAGGATTCCGAATCCCACAAAAATCTCGGGAATCCCAAGAATCCCATAAAAATCCCAAAAATCCAGAAAACATAATTTATATGGTGGACTAATAAAAGCATCAATCGAAGCAATTTACGAAACAAACTATACAGATAAGCTAGTTGCTGTGAAACAAGGACTTCCTGGCATAAAAAGTATAATACAAAATTCTTGTGAAATTCGTAATTCTCATCGCCGAAGAGAACAAATTGTAACATGCTGATTCATGACACAAATCTGGCTTATGCTCTTGATATTATAAATTGCATGTATATCTACGTTGCATAAATAAAACAAAATGATGTATATAATTATCATGCTTAGAAAATTTAGTAAGACGCCTGTGCATGTCACGAAAATCGTCGTGATTTTGGTGACATGGGTGTCTTCAGTCGAGACAAATTATAATGCAACCCTATGAGCAAAAGTTCTGAAAAAGTTGTCTTCACGGCATATTATTGAACTATTTTCTAGTTAATACATATAAATAAAAGAAAGCAATTGGTATATAGAATGCAATCTAAGAAAAAAGTCAAAGTCTTTCAATTATGATGCAACTCAAGGGGGAATTGGCGGGTTCTCGGGGTTTCGAATCCCATGGGAATCCTGGAACCAAATAGAAATCCAGAGAATCCAATGAATATCCAAGATATACTTAAATTAGATGTCTGAACAACACTGAAATCATAACTCACGCTCATGGATAGCAAATATCACTTCGTTCATTTAATATTTTGAAACCCATTCCTCTAAGAGAACCACGTAGTGGTATGGAAAATAAGGGTGTGGATGTGAATATTTCGTGGGGATGGAAAAAATGACGTAGATCATCACCCTCGTCGATATCGTAAACTGAACGTTCTGGGGTATAGAAGCTACTGATTTCTAACGAAATAACGTGATCTTAATCGTGACATCTAGTATGATTATTTATACAGTTCAATTAGGTGAGAGATCTCAAACATTTTGTACAATAACGCTCATATTAATTCATAGAAGGATGAATCAGACTGCAACTTAAAATTTGACATAACATAAATAGGTGTGATTGAACTAAGGAACTAGCTCCGAAGACGAACTTGCGGTCCTTTCATTCTATTCATTACTTAGTGAGTCATAGTTCTGCGATCAACACTATTCTTCCTAGACTGATCAATAATGATTTATCCGTGAATATTAATATAAAAAAAACGGGTAAATAATCTATTAACTTTTTACCAAATGATTAGAACAATATACTAACCGATGAGCTTATATTAGTTCATTATCCGGCCCGTTTAATAAAATAGACATGATTCATGAGAAAATGTAACGGGTTGGTTCTGATCGATATTACTTTGATTTTTACTGCCCTTTCACGGACAAAGAAAAATAAAACAAGTGCTTTTTTGTCTCTAGTATTGATGCATATCTTATGAAAAAATTTGTCTGAACTTAGTGATCACTGAACTATTTTTCTTCTGTGGAACAATAAATATCCCTCGACTTTCACAATTCAAAGCAAGTTTAGAGCCAATAATTGAATCTTCGCGAAAAAGGCAGACAGCTAGAAAACAAAAAGGATAGAGGTGCAGAACTCGATGAAGATCTTGAATATTCAGGCGCAGTTCAGGCATTCTAGTGCATGTAGAATCTGTTTTGTTCCTATTCAAATCCAGTGCGCTGAACTTTTCATTAAAGGTTTCAAAAATGTTACGCAAGATAAGAAAAAGATGGTTTCGAACCAATCAGCTTCAAAATGATATCATGATCTTCTCCTTTGTGGTAATTTTAAAAAGACTATTTGTCAAGTTTATAATCTAGCCTATAATCTTCTTTCCAGATTTGATTTTAATTTTGTTTAGAAGAAAACAACAGAGAATCTGTGATAAAACAAAGTAGATCAGTTATACGAATCTAGTGCAGAAAAAACCGTATTGTCTAATCTAACGAAAATCATTACAAGTCATTAGATCAAGAGTGAAACTAGTATTCAAAATATGGGTGTGGGTGTGGGTATGTAGTTCTCTTGTACACCCACACCCAAAAACAATACAGTCATAGATAGAGCCTCTTATCTTTTAGTCGACAGAAAGGCTGTGCTGCTACCTGATTGCTTTAAGCATATTCAACTGTCAGATTACGGAATGAATCAAAAGTTACATATAATATGCCATAGATTCATTTGATTCAATATATTTCTTGTATCTCATTGACTTATATTATTGCTTGCTGCTGTTCGTTATTCTACCTCGAACATTTTCTCTTAAAAATAAGAAAGTAAACTGTCGTGTTGTCAAAATGAACTTGATACCCATCTAATTAGGTTAAGTGCCTAGAATTTTAAAATAGATAACCCTAATGAACTACCTTGGGGTATGCGAATGAAATACATGAGCATTAGGAGCAAGAGTGTCATGTGCTCTGGACAAATCTTGGTATCTGAACAGGTCAAGCATATGAATAAAAAGTTCGCCTAGGAAATGATTTTCCTCAATAGTTGTATGCAGTTTTTCAAGCCATTTGATAAAGCAATGAAGCCTTGACACTGAGTTCTATCAGATTTTCAGGACTTGAGTGATGATCGTAGAGGTTAAATATGAATTTCTGGAATGTCATTTGCTATTATAAAAATTCCGAGAATTCATGGGATTCCAGGGATTCCAAGAATAACACGGGAATCCCGGAATCCGCCTTTTCTCCCTTGAGTTGAGCATTATTAGATTCTACACAGGTGGCTCTAGCGCTGATCAATGCTTATTGTCCATTGGCTGACACATAAGCGAGAGATTTTACCTGAAACAACGGTCAATACGAAGATGTCATAATTGGAATCGAATTCATTTTGTAAGGTGATTAAGAATATTTTTCAAAATTCAAATTATTTTCTAAGATATAATTACGCTTTTCAATTTGTTAGTCCTCTAGTTCGGATGACAAAGAATTCTACGAATATTTTTATAGTGCGATACTTAACATGGTATAGATTAAATGAGTAAGAAAACAAAAATAGTTCAATCTAACCAGACCATTAATGTTCAGATAGTAGTGATTATTCATTGTTTTTGTTTTATATGTCGACGAGTCGCAGTTGTGCGCCAGTTACAGCTGAATAATCCTTAAATTGTTCAAGCATTTCATTTGCAATAGTTTCTCCCGGATGATTGCGACCAGTTACAAGTTGATATAAACCACGTGGTTGAATTCGACGCATTTGTGTAATCAAATCTCGAACATATGTTGACGTGTTTGTAGCTTTTGCCATAGATGACACTTCAACGGCATAGATAGCACCTGATGATGCTTTATTTTGCTTGTCGGATATCTTGTTACTGTTTATTTTAGACAAAATATCAGCATTCGTAGTTGATTCATCGGTAATATAGAAGATAATAGGGCAATTCTTTTGAAAAGGACGTTGTAAACAGACAATATTATCAGTACCAGTATAAGTTGAGCTATTGGATAATTCTATATTTTTTTCATTTTCTACACTGATTTTCATATCATCTTCTTTATTAGTTGATACTACGACTTGTTGTCGTTCTTTGAGCTTATTATGCACAACTGTTGCGATCGTCTCAATAGAAATTCCTTGAAGAAGATCAACCAATGGTACAAAAATGCTGGTCTCTTTTCCCAACCAATTGTACAATGAGAGAGCTGCTAGCGAATCCATGCCTTGACTGACAAGTGAACGATCAACTGATATACGCTCGACATTAGTTGTGCCTAGTAATCGTGCTACGGCTGCTTGAGTTTGCTCAATAATAGTTTCTCTTCGACTTAAGTGTGAATCGGCTGTATTATGAGCGTTTGATGAGTCTCCTGACATACTGGCCAGCTTCATACTTGTGTAACGTTGCTTAACAATGTTGGTTAAATAAAACGTAGGTAGTTTATTGCGGTTTTGATATAATGTTTGCCAATTAGCAGCGAAGATAACTGGACATGGACACGTATTCTGATTGATATGAAAACGTTCGATTAGTTCGAACACAGCTATAGTTGGTACTAGTTCGAAGCCTTGTGTAACTTGTAAACTAATCAATAGATCCCGATAACGATGAAACATACCAGCACCACTTACTGCTGGTAAACTGACCGAAAGAGCAGGTAAATTGAGACGTGTCATGCGATAATGAGCGAGAGCATCAAGAAATTCATTGCCAGCATTATAACCAGCGGCTGCCAATTCAAGTAGATGGTTTCGAATTGATGAAAACATAACAAAGAAGTGGATAGGAGCATTTGTATCTTGTGTTGCTTGATGAAGAACCCAAGCACCACGAATTTTTGCTGCTAAGACACGATTCAAGTGCTCCACTGACAAATTAACCAAACTACGATCTTCTGCTACGACTGCACTATGAATAATACCCCGCACTGGATAAGGAGTCTGAGCTAGTCTTGCCATCAATTCACGTACTTGTTCAAAATTCGTTACATCTGCTTTAACAACATCGACTTGTCCATTATAGTGACTCACTGTTTGTTTGAGACGTAACCATTCTTCATATTGTGGATTATCTGGTTGTTCAAGTTCAGCCAATGTTCGACGACTCATAAGCATAACTCTCTTAACTCCTCGTTTCTCTATCATCCAACGAGACATTGTCAATCCAAGACCACCGAAACCGCCAGAAATCAAAATCGTTCCTTTTTCGCATACTTCCGGCACAAACATAATATTATTATCTAAATTTAATTTAAAAAATTTAAATGAATAAGTATTACATATGTAGAGAAACAAAATAGGCAAAAATGAAACAATAATTCGTGAACTATGCTTCTAAAACTGACTCAAGTCGTAAAAAGATATTTAGAAAGTTTCACTTATCATTAATTTAGTGTCTATTAGTAGTTCAGTTGACGAATGAATAGTTCATTTTTGCATATTTTGTTTTTACATAGATTATAGTTACCTTTTATTAATTTGTTGAGTTGTTTGTCACTCAAATAGAGTGGCTGATCGGAATTCGTCATACGAACAACGGATTTACCCATAGCTTGTCCGCTTACAAATCTCATAAATGCTTCGACCACTTGAGATGGCTCGAAGACAACGGTTGGTTGGATTGCTCTTAATTTACCTAGCACAAATAAATCAACCATTTCCTTTAGCATCACTGTACAAATATCTTGCTGCTTATCGGAAAGCGAAATTAAATCGATGACATGGAAACTGCAATCAGAGCGGAAGTCAAACATAGATAGTTGAGTTCTATCGAAAACATCTCGTTTGCCCCATTCAACAAAATGACCATGGTAAGCGAGTAATTTGACAGATTCTTTTAGAAGAGGACCTGACAGTGAATTGATAATAACATCGACACCATTGGGTAGAAGATTGCGCACACAATTGACAAAAGAAGCATCACGACTTTTGAACACGTGTTCAACACCGCATTGCTCGCGAAGAAAACGACGTTTTTCTTCGGTACCAGCTGTAGCTAAAACACGAGCACCAAGCCATTGGCAATATTGAATACAAATTTGACCGGCACCTCCAGTTGCTGCGTGAATAAGAACAGTTTGACCACGTCTTAGATGTACACGATATCTTAGAGAATATATTACTGTTAGACAGACTGTAGGCATAACGGAAAGTTGTTCGTCGGTAAGAGGACACTCAGATGGAATGCGTACAATTTGAGATGCGTCGAGGACGACGTTCGAATGAAGTGTGCCATGAGCAGAAATACCAACGACATGATCACCAGGTTGAAAGTCAACATTTGGAGATGCACGCAAGACAGTACCAACAAAGTCCGAACCTGGTTCTGTATCTCGATTGACATGTGGTTGATCTTCATCAGCTTGTGCAAAAGCACGAGTGTGTGGATAGAGACCTCGTGCTTTAAGCACATCACGAAAATTGATGCCAACGCAATGTATACGAACTTCTACCATACTTGGTTTTATTTCTTTTTGTATTTCATCACGAACCCATGTCAAATCAGCCAGAAATCGAGATGAAGGCACGCACAGACGGAATGGATTTTCATTAGCATCTCGTTGAGGAATTATACACACTTCTTCCGCTTTTGATTCATCTTCACTTTCATATTCTTGAAGCATTTCGTAATGCCATACTAGATGTTGTACTTGATTTTCACTTGTATCAAGTCGAATGACTACCTCGTCAATATTATTGCTATACCGAATGGTTACTAAATATTGTGCTAGAGCATTGATAATGAGTGGATCGTTGATTCTTGCTATTGGTGATTGAATATCGATAAGTTTTAGACGATATCGTTCGTATTCAATCATGAGACTGCGTGTAAGACCAATTAGTGGTGATCAAATAATATTGCAACCAGACTCAATATTTAACTGAGCATCGCGTGTAATAACAAATACAAACGGACAAAATTGAGGTGATATTGCTTGAATCAATTGAAGAACCTGAGCAAGAGTGCCACACATAGATTCTTCATGTTGTTTAAATGCTAAATCGCTATTCTCTTCCAGTGCTGTTTGTTCAAGTGGCCATGCAAAAACTATATATAACTGTCCGTACTGAGCCATCATCTTTTGCACTACCGAACGTATTTTTTCCATGTCAGAATCATACATATCAATATATTCGAAGTTCGAACATGGTAAAAGTGATGCAATACTATGTGCAAGACTCTTCTGATTGTCTTTGGCAAAAAGAAGCCAAGCTTGAGTTTTTCTTTCGTCTAGTCTCTGCAGTAGTTCAGAAGATTTAGTCTTCTGAGCCATGATTAGTGTACTTTCATATGAACTGAGAAACGTTTTAATAGATTCAAAGCCACTTGCTTCTTTTAAGGCTGTTGTCCATTGATCTATATCATTAAAGGCGCGACCTCTTCCTGATGGCGACCACCATTGATCTAGTAAACCAAATATAAGGTAAAGTAGTGAGGGACACCGATCAATTCGAGCAGTAGAAGAAGGCCATTGGGAACAAGTAGACGACGAAGATCGATTATCGATTGTTTTAAATCTTTACATCCCTGCAATTTATTCGCAGTAAGCATTATATCAAATGATTCAATCGGAATTTTGTCACGGTCTTCGTTGTTGAACAAGTCAAATGTTTGATCATATGTAATACATATACTATTTTGACCATCTAAATGTGTCTCAAATGTTTGCTCAGCTCGTGTAATTTGTCTTGAATCAGTGTCTGCATAGTGTATATCGACTCGTAGTCCTGTCTGACTTGATAAGTTGAGTAAAAGTTCTAGAATAGGTAAAAAAGAGCAGCAATCACCACCAACTAACCAGAATATGCGTAATCGGCGATTACTAAGTGAACCATTGTTATTTTGATCGTGCTGTTGAAGATATTGTTTGATCGCTTGAAAGATCATTTCTATTCTACCCATACTAATAATAGTTTGTATTTGCTGCAAATTTTGTTCAGTTTGATCGTCGCCCAAGAACAGTTCTAACGCATTTTGTTGTCCATTAAGAACTTGTTTGAGATGCGAACCGTACGTATTCAAAGCAGTCAAGATTGGTTTGAGCTGTGGAAACCGATCAAACAAAGTCATTAGACGAAGTTGTGTTGAATGAAATGACGCTTGTTCACTTTGAGTAGAGGCAAGAGATTGACATGAACTTAATAAAGAATGATAGTTTTGATCAACAAGACTCAAATCGAGATCTTTCAATGCTATTTGAGCATAACATGCAGCCAATTGATTGAACGGTTCAATTGATTTCACTAATTCTTGATTACTAAGAACATCGAATCCAGCATTGAAAATTTTCTCACCTGATGGAAATAAATCGGCTAAATTAGTTACTATCAATGTATCAACCCATCTACGTCTCATACAATAATCTTTCATAATTGCATCTAATTGTTCAGTGTGATCTGCATTGGGCACATCAGCAGCTGCATTTAATTTATCGAAAACTGATTTTACTTGTGCCGATTCACCAGATTGTGTACCTTGAATTTGTCGAATCGTTAGACCTTCAAACATGAACATCGTTTGATCTAAAGATGCATCAGTTGGAAGAATCACCAGATCAGTTGTATATGTTCGTGCTTGGGCCAAACCACAGACATTGTCAAGATATTTACCACGCATTTCTAGTTTCAAAACATTCGTGTTTACTTTTCCTGTACTAACGAATTTTTGAATGGAAATTGGAATGAATGTAGAATCGAAGCCAGGTAGTAGAGCTAGAAGTGGATGAAAACTAGAATCCAATAAAGTTGGATGAAATAGTTGATAAGATGATAGATCACTTATTGAACTAAGATCACTATCAAGCTCAGCCACCACTGTCGATGTTGTACCACGAAGCGACTGGACACGTCGAAAAGCAGGTCCATACTGATAACCTCGTGCAGCTAGATGAGTGTAAACGCTTGCAAGATCATGCGTAGACCAAGTATCAGGAGCTGCATTGTCAGTAAATATTGTCATAAACTTTTGTGAAGTATTTTCCATGTCGATTCGACCATGAGCGTGTAAAGTGAATTCACGTAATGAATATTGATTGAGAGTCTCCGGATCGACAAAAGAATCGACTACATCAGTACTAGCCATGCCTGATGATCGCATACATTCTTGGCCAGCTCCTGTCCACGGTCGACTATAGATAAACCATTCACGCATTGGCATGATAATTTATGTAAACACTTCTGTTAATTCATGTTCGGTAAGAGCAAGTCCTTTGACGAATTTGATCCGCTCGAAAACGATTATTGGTTGCTTATCATCTGTTGATGGAAGCAATTGACGGCAGGCGGCCGCTGCAAGTTCAAGGAAACCGACGGCTGGAAAAAGAAGTGCATCTTGAATTTTATGATCTTTGAAATAGGCATATTGTGGCAAATTGATATTGATGAGACATTTCCATGTGGCACTTGTTTGTCCGGTCAATTGACGTACACCAAGTAATGGATGGCTAGGAATACGATGAGCCAAACGTTTAATAACTGAATCTTTTGATTCATACCAACAAGAATTCAAATGAAATTTATACAACGGAAAGTCATCGAATAGTTGATCGTCTTCTTTCATAGATTGTGTATTTCGAGTTTTAAAATATTTTTGCCAAACATCCGATGATGCCGTCAATTGTGCGATGTTGGTTAATAATGATATTTGTTCATCTTCTTTTCGTTTCAATGTGGAAAGAATCAACGGTTGCCAGTTCTTTCCTTCATAGCATTCACGAATAGATGTGGCCAACACTGGATGTGGTGAAATTTCTATAAAAGCAGTTGCAGCTTCATCATCCGCAATAGATGCAATTGCATCATTAAATCGAACAGCATGTCGTACATTTGACCACCAATAATGAGCATCAACTGGTAATTCATCGTCTAATCTTTTACCAGTAACACTTGAATAAAGACTAGCTTCAGAACATTTAGGATTGAACATTTTGTGTTTATCTTTCAACGGAAGTCCTCGAATATCTTTGAGTGATGAGAGCATTTCTTTTTCAATATCAAATCGTTCCATCTGGTAAGAATGAAATGCATTTTCGATACGTAGACGAGCTTTGAAAACATTTGGATATAATGCTGAAAGGATTTTTTGAATTTCATCTATGGTCTTCTCATCACCACTTAATGTTACTGAACGAGGACTATTAACGACGGCGACACAAACTAAGTATTCAATGCCGTTCAGAAGTTTACTTTTTACTTCATCTTCACTCATGGATACGGCCAACATACGACCACCCTGTCGTGTATTACGATTTTGTAGACGTGATCGATGGTAAACAATTCGAACAGCTTCTTCTAAAGTGAGACGACCTGCGACAAAAGCAGCTGCTTGATCTCCAGCACTGTGTGAAATGATAGACGATGGATAAATATTCCACGATGTTAGTAGAGCAGTCAGAGCTACTTGAATAGCGAACAAAGCAGGTTGAGCAATGTTTGTATCATTAATACGAGATTCGTTTTCGTTCTTCTTTTCAATCAATTCTTCTAATAGACGCCATTCACCATTGTTGACTTTGGTGAGTTCACTATCGATTCGTTGAACCCATTGGGAAAATAAAGGTTCACTTTCATACAGTTGTCGACCCATAGCCCACCATTGAGGACCTTGTCCACTAAAGACAAAATATAATTTTGAAGTTGGCACTGTTGGACGTAATTCTATGCTAAGACCAGACGTTGTCTCTTGAATGAGAAAAGATGCAAGTTGCTCAAGCAATCTTTTACGACCAGAGAACACAAAAGTGGCTATGTGTGTATGACTGATAGTTCGCTTGAGAAGAAGTTGTCGAGACAGACGTTGAAGAAATGCACGATCATCTTTTATGCTCAAAGTTGATGTTTTTTTCAGCCAAAGATTAAATTCGGCGACTTGACCATTCAAAGACTCGCGGTTCTTCGCTAAAAAAATGTAAAATAATGTACCTCTTCAATCATCAAATTAGCTTCTATGTAACTCACATGAAAAAATAAAAATAAAATATTGATTATTTTTCTCCTGAGCTATTTCAGCATCACCATTTGTGGCTCCATTTGTTACTATACTCTTAGTAGGTCGATACTCTTCAATAATGGCATGCGTGTTATTACCGCGCATTCCAAATGAATTGACACCCATGCATATAGGTTCATTCTCGACATATTGAGGTAATGGTGTGAGATGTTGAACAACGTGAAGATTGTATCTTTGTGCTTCGATTTTAGGATTCAGTGCCTTGAACTGCATGTTCGGTGGAATAGTTCGATGGTGCATAGATAAAACGACTTTTATGAGTCCGGCAACACCAGCTGCTCCTTCTGTGTGTCCCAGATTACTCTTAACAGAACCAATCAGAAGCGGAGGCTCAACCCTTGAGCGATGAAAAAATTTACCCAAACAATTAGCTTCGATTGGATCACCTACTGGTGTACCAGTACCATGTGCTTCAACGTAAAATATGCGTTGAGGATCAAGTTTTGCTCGTTGATAAACACTATTGAGTAGACGAGTCTGCCCAGCAGCTGACGGAACAACAAAACTACTTTTATCTTCATTTCCATCGTGGTTACTGAGTACATCACGAATCACACAGTATATACGATCGCCATCACGTTCGGCATCGCTCAAACGTTTCAACAGAAGAAGACCAAGACCATCACCTAATAATCTCGGTCGAAAACGAGTGTTACAAGAATGAAAATGTGTTCTTTACCTTTAGCATACCCATTAGCATCAATGCTAAACGAACGACTTCGTCCGTCCGGTTACTGGGCACCAATTATCGAACTGTAAAGAAAATTCTCCGGTGAATAGATAGCATTCACTCCTCCTCATACTGCCATATCTGCTTCGTTTGTACGTAGTGCTTGTACAGCCATATGCACAGCCTCTAATGATGATGAACAGGCCACATCCAATGATACGTTAGGACCCTGCAAATTGAAATGGTACGATAATCGAGCTGCAGCGTTGTATAGTAAAGTATTTGGTCCATGAAAACGAGAACGATGTTCAGGCTCTATGCGAAATGTTGTAGCAGCATGATCTGTAGAAAATTGGCCAATATGCACTGATGTTCGTGAGCCACTTATTTTCTCAATACTATAGCCAGCATCTTCGAGTAAATGAACAAACTTGAGCATGAGTAGTCGATGACACGGGTCAACACTGCCTGATTCTGCGTCCGAAAGACCAAAGAAACTCGGTTCAAACGTATCCCATTGATTCGCCGACAGAAAATATCCTCGACGAAGGAGCTTTTGACGAAAATGTCCATCATTATCCTTGTTAAACATATGCACACAATAAGAATCTATGTCGAGTCGATCACGAGGAATTTCACTGCCCACATCTCGACTTTCTTCCAATGCATGCCATAAATCTGTCGGAGAATGAATATCACCGGCAAATTCACAGGCTATGCCAATAACAGCCACTTGCATTTGTTCTGTACTTAAGGAAGTCATCAAAGTTTTTTGAATCTGAAGAGCTTATAAAAAAAAGAAAATTTAAAAGATGAANCTTACGTTTTCCACTTGCACCTGATGCATTACGGTATAATGACAGAAAAGTCCAGAAATAGACAGAACAATACTCTTTTATTAAAAAAATCAACAGTTATGTCGTGTTTCACATTTTAATCCCAAAGGGATTGCGCTAACAGCTTTTTTCTACAAATTTACTGATAAACGCCATCACCATCAAAAACGAATTACGTGCCCTTGATCAACTATAGACTACTAGAAAAGTTTTTTGATTAGTTTTTACTTAACATGACTCTTTTTCACAGATTTTTGTTCGAAGTCGAGCTGATTTTTCGAATCACGAAAAACAACATTGCGACTAGCTTTTCACGACAGGTACTATACAAAAATATAAATATCAATTAGAAGGCCTTTCGGTTTATCATATTTTGATAATCTATCACGAACCATTGGGTTATAAATAAAAGGAGTCACAGAACTGTCTATACTAACAGTGTTTCAACTGTTTTTGCTATAATGCATTTCTGTAAAATTCCAACCAGACTAATTCTAATTTATATACCAAGTATACGATGATTATGAGTAGTAGTGGCGTAACCAGGGTAGGGCATGGTTGAGCTCAGTCCAACCACTGTAGCTGTGCACCCTACCACTGGTCGTTTTTAGAAAAAGATCGTTTTTCATAATGCTAGACACAATAAAAACTGCACGATTGCATTCCCCTGATCTCTTTTTTAGTTGATGCTAAAACTTTTTTGCATTCCAAATGAAAACTAATTTCTCCTCATTATGCAATGAAATTTAAGTTCTGAAGCAGATGTTGAAAAGCTCAAAGTTGAACAGTAATAATCTCTATGCTGAACCTTTTTCTAAGCAGACAATAATTTAGAAAATCGCTTTTAAATGTACATAAAAACGGACAAAAACTCAAGAAAAGTGGGTGTGTTTGTATGACAATCGGGGATCCCAACTGTGAGCTGAAAACGGCCATTTTTCGCCCCTCCTTGTGCGTTTAAGCACATTTTCAGCCAAAACACGTGAAAATGCATTGCAAAAAGACAAAAGTGGTAATTTTTTCGTATTTCAGAACCCTATTTATGATCTCCTCACAGATAGCGACTATGAAAAAACGACCACTTCTTGTCTTTTTCTAGTGCACTTACTGCACATGCATTTACAAGCTTTTTTGGCTGAGAACGCGTTTAAACGCACAAGAAGAGCGAAGAATGGTCATTTTTCGCTTAAAAACACCTGCATATAATACAATGTCGAATACTTGGTAGAGTGATTTACTCGTTTTAGAGGTAGGACACGATTTTTAAATTAATTTCGAAAAGCTAATGGAGAATTTTGCTGATTTCCTCCAAAATAGTAAATTATTTTACAGTAAAACCTTGTGAATCATAATTTGTGATTCTTTATTTCCATTTAATAAGCAAATGAAACATCATTAAAAAGATGTTTTTCAATTTGAGTACATTATTGTATTCTTATTCTATGAAAAGAAAGTCATGAATCACCAAACATAACTTTTTGGGAAAACGTTAGGGCTCAGCCCAACCACCCGATAAATCCTGGTTACGTCACTAATGAGTAGGCGTAGTACGTTTACGTTAATTTTAAATTAACGTAAACTAAAAGCGCTAACCGTTAATATTAACGTTAACGTTTTAGTTAACGTTAATTTGAATTAACATAAACTTACCACCCCAGGGCTGGACCATGAGAACTAAAAATAACGTTACAGGAATCTCATACATAAAAGTAAGCGAGTTAAAAAATTAAGCCAATCTGACTGACGTTCGTATCGATTTCCTTTGTGTTAACGCGATTATGACATCCGACGTATGAGTTAGAACTATCATGAGATTGGTAGAGTCAGGAATAGTGTATCGCTAATATCAACTACTTTGATATTCTACTTAGAAAAACGTATACACAAAATCAGTTGCTATGTTACCATGTATTAAAGCTTTGCATAGAACTGCTTTAGGTTTTTTACCAAGCCTCAAAAAGATTTTCCCTGTGTGACCACCGGAAGAACCTCTTTAAGTTCGGTATGGTACTTGTTTTTACAGTGTGAAGAAGGTCAGACATTCTTTCATGCAATAATTTTTCGAAAAATATCTTATCCTAGCCTAGAAGGAGATCAATCTTTCGATAGCTTCTTCAGGAGAAATTAAAAAGGAAAATATTTTTATCGAAAACTTCTGGACGATGTAAGATATATTGGAATGCATTGATTACAACCAAAGTGTCGTTTGATTTGGTGTTCGACATCTATCACATCTAATAAATCTCCTTAAATTTTTCGATGATTTCAGATTCTCTACATACGAATCACCTCTCTTAAGCTTATCTTCGTTACAAACCTACTTATAATCATACCCAGTTATTATATCAATCCTTCAATATGAATTATTTACAAAAGCTAATATCCTTACTTTACAGCACGGTGATAAGAAAAAGAGACGAGACACATCTAATACACTTTCAATCGTTTATATAGCAGAAAGAAAACAGTTAATCAAGCGTGAATGTTGAAGAAAAAAATGGAGAAAGTCGTTTCTTCCCGTAACGTCAATCATGCAATACATGCAATGAAGTGTGCATGCCTCAATCATTAAATAGCATAGTTAAACCAAGCGATCGTTTATGCGGGAGAGCGAAGATTGATCGAGAATTTTGTAAAAGAAGAACAAAAGCTTCCCATGTAAAAAAAATAAGCGTAAAAATCAGCATTTACATGACTTTTATGATTATAATCGCCTTTTTCGTGCATTTGATTCGGAATCAACATTTTTTCATCAATTATCATCTGTTTTATTACTGCCCATGTGAAAAAAATAGGGGTAAAATTAGATTAAAATCGATTATTATCGATTAAGACTCATTGTAATCAATTCCTAATCAATTAGTAATCGATTAAAATCGAGGCAACGGTTGTTTCCGAATGCCACTGATTAAAACCAATTTCCGTTGATTTTTTCTGTTGCTAATCAACTACAAATGAACAAGTAGTCGATTCAAACTAGCTGTAATTGTTTGAGATCGATATCAGGCACATAACAACATACCATCGATGACTTCCAGTAACGCTGATTTACAACGAGCAACAGTGGAGTTATTTTTACTTTTCTGAAAGTATGTTCTGAAGATTTCATCTGGATTCTCTGAATAACATTATTCCAAAGTTTTACTTGCGCAACAAAACATACTTCTGCCTCCTTATTACTTGCTAAACGAACTGGTAATAAACCTCTTCTAGACAAAGGAACAAGTCAATCGAAACAATCGATATCAAGACGAAAATCATATCTGAACATATTCCATTTGAATAAATGGAACAAAACGAAAAACAGGTCTGGCATATTCCATTTGAACAAATGGAACAAAACAAAAAACAATCCTAATCAAAAAGAAAAACAGGTCTGAACATATTCCATTAGAATAAATGGAACCAAGCAGAAAAAACAATCGTTATCAAAACGAAAACGAGTATGAACATATTCCATTTGAATAAATGGAACAAATAAAATGAGTTTGTTTGAAGACAAAATTTATTATTAATATTCCTTTTGAAGCGAAAGACAGGAAATAACGAGAAAGCAACTTAACTTTATATTAAATGCAGATGGCATCTAACCTCACACAAGTTCAGTACAAACTATATGGCCTATATTACTTGTCATCAATGAAATTCCTTTAAAATGACGTTTTGATATAGAAAATATAATTCTTGCAGGGGTGTGGCCAAGTCCAAAAAAGTCAACAAGAACAGAAATGAGTCTTCTTCTTCGTCCTCTCATTGATGAACTGCTTAATCTGGAACGAGGAGAACATTTTGACTTTCATGACCAAGACAATAATGGGATTACAGCGCGTGCTTTCCTCATTGGTGCTTGCTACGATAAACCTGCGCAGGCGCTTCTGCAGTTTTTACCAGAGCCAACTGCAGCTTTTGGGTGCGGGAGATGCGAAGCGAAAGGTTTCAAAATAAATTTCCATTAAATACAAAGTCTAGAAATGTTTTTTTTTATAGGATTTATGGTAAAGACAGCTAAGGATGGTAATGACTGAAATTTAGATTTTTTCAATGGAATCTTTTGATGTTTTTATTTGATTATCGAAAAAAATCAAAATATTGCACTTTCTAAAGTAAACATGTGTTGAATGACTAGGAATGGAGTATTTTCAGCATTTTTTTCGTAAAATCTTATGATTACACCATCGTGCTCCATATTAACGCAAAGGAAATTATATAAAATTAGATCACTCGCTGGGTTATTCTCGAACTTATTGCTCCATCATTTGTGTTGTACAGAATATATCTGAGCTTCACTAGTAATCATATGAATCAAAATTTATGCGTGTATGTAAATTTCAACAACAACGCATTTTGAAGATGATGTCATCGAAAAGTGTAATTGTGTGAATAGGAAGCAAGACAGAATTGCGAAATATGACTAATCGATATGTTCTTTTCTGTTAAATACACATCTACTTCAGTCATAACAAACATTCTGAAAATCACACTGTAAGTAAACTAACAACGATCAGTAACGCACAATCGAGAATTATCGTTCCTCGAACTTGATAATATAGATTTCTTTTTGTAATTGAGAATATTATAAATCTTCTTGTAACACTGAAGTTTTAGAGGACATAACGCTGCTCTGTTGTTTTTCTCGGGATATGAAATAAATTACGTTACATATATTTATAGCCTTTGAATAATTATTTTCAAAACAATTAATCGATTCAAATTAAATGAACATATTTAGTGAATGATTTAAGTTTCTATTTTCGTCAAAAAACAAATCGACTTTCTGCTATTGTGTTAGAATAATTTTTTGCGTCAAAACTTCGAATACATTTTGTTATTTCCGTAGTTTAAACGCGAATTGTGTCAAATTTCTTCGGACATGCCTTTGCAGATTTGATAAATGCGTCAAGGCCTTTTGAATTCAGTGTTTAATATGTAGTTTGCTATATAATGTAACTCACAACTGGAAATGAAAGCCGATCGACGCATCTACTGTCTTACATTAACTATTTATCACAATAGCAAGTTTATATTCATCGATATTTTGATAAAACTTTTGTGATGTGATTATTTCTTAGGATAATCCACAGTATTTGAATTTTATAGATAAAATTTTTATTCTAATTAATTTATATGAACTCATCTAAAATAATTGATATTATAAAACCTATTGGTTATGATGAAAATCCTGAAAGATATCGATCCATAAGTGCTGTTGTAGTATCTGATACACATAAAAAACATGAAAAGATTCAGATACCAGATGGTGATGTTTTTCTACATTGTGGAGATTTTACAAAGAAAGTCGATTGGCTAAGTTAAAAAAAATAATGAAATACCTCGATCCGTAATTGATTTTAATCGATGGTTGGGAACATTGCCACATAAGCATAAAATTGTTAATTGTGGAAATCATGAACTTGGTTTTGAAAATTTATCCAAAGAAAGAATTCAATCAAAATTATTAACTAATTGTATATATTTAAAGGATGAACTAATACAAGTTGAAGGTATAACAATTTACGGTTGTGCATGGCAATTTAATGGCGATTATGAAACAAAATGGTCATTAATTCCTTCAGATATTGATATATTAATGACACATATACCTCCACAACTTCGAGTAAACTTAGCATTGCCACTAAAAAGGCATCTTCAGCAGAATTTTGTTCAATGTGTCATAATACAATTCACGGTTGCTCAAGGCATATGGGTTCAAAAAGTTTAATAAAAGAAATTAATCAAAGAATTCGACCACAGATTCATTGTTTTGGACATACTCATAATGAAAGTGGTTATCAATATGATCAAGAAGAGCGTGGAACATTCTTTATTAATGCAGCAGCATATTTAACAAGACAATCTTTTAAATTAAACTTTATCTTGATTTACAAAAACATTCTGACNGAAATCCTTTTTTTTAATTAAGCCTTTGTTTGGTCAAAATACAACAAGTTGTGCGATTTGGTTACCAGTTTTTGACTCTTTTTCAATCATTGAACTTGTGATCCATTTTTGCGCTTAAAAAAGGACTATTTCAAAAAAGGGCGTCCGTGTGCCATGCGTCTTGATTGAGATGGTCTTTTCAACAAAAAAAAGAATTATATATTGGTCGAACCAGGACCGAGAATTTTGGGATCTCAAATGAGTCATTTTTGACCCGTTTTTTGTTCATATCTCCCTGAAACCTAGAGATTTTGGGCTGAAAATTTGATAGTAGTGTTCTATTTCTAACCCCAACATATCCTCAAAGTTTCATCTAATTTGGACGTTCCTGGACTGAAATAGGGTTTTGAGGGGGGGGGGCGGGGCTTAAATAACAAAAACAAGACTATTTAATTGTAGATTGATATCAGTGTTNAGCTGGTTTTTCGAATTGTGGGTGACGAAAATCTTTGAAAATTTTTGACAAAAAGGCGGTATCGAGGAAAACTTTTTATCAGTTATGAAAGAGCAGATGGTGGGGGGGCGGGGCTTAAATAACAAAAACAAGACTATTTAATTGTAGATTGATATCAGTGTTAACTTCAATCAGGATGGCCGACAGCAGATCTATATCAGACGCATGGATAGATGATGAAGCGGTAGAATATTGGAGCAACCGATGATGAAATCGACTATTTAAAACGATTGTATGTGCTCTGGTTAAAGCAACGAGATTCTCAAGCTAGAAAAGTAAGTTACCTTATTCCATCGATGATTATTGATGGTTTTATTTATCATGGCACTATATTCCATGCAAGAAACATAAATTTACTCGAAAAATTACACATTCGAAATATCCTCAATGTCTGTAATGTTCGCTTGAGTCGAAAGATTGTTGATAAATATCATGTTTTTTGGATAAATTTACAAGATGATTTCGATGTTGATATTCGTGTACATTTTGATCAAACAAACGAATTTTTACAGGCATGTAGAAACAAAAATGAAAAAGTTCTAATTCATTGTCGAGCTGGCGTTTCTCGCTCGTCTTCAATTGTTCTCGCGTATCTATTAAGGTAAAACTCATTTCATATCATATATGTTAGCCTTCAATGCTTCATTTTAGATACTATCATGATATATTGTACAATGCCTACCATTATTTGATTGAACGACGTTCAATAGCTATGTCAAATGATGGCTTTTTTCTACAAATCATTCTTTATGAGAAAGATTTGCATGTAAATAGAACTGCTACTGATATGGAGCAAAGTTCTAGCGAATCGATCAATACTGACATGGCACCATCGACTGTCGATTAGAACAAAACCAACTAAAAGTGAATTAGGCGTTGTTAGATAGTTACGTTTACCTAACTCTTTATTCTTGAAAACAACACTCTAACTAGAATCACTCGAACAACTCTAACTTCTCTTAGGTCTCTTGACCAATAGAGAGATAGCATAAAGAAGAAGAGGCAGTGGTCGCAGATAGCGCCACTACCTAACACCTCCACCCTTTGCAAGTGAACTGTTACACCTGTTCACGAAAAAAAACACCTGGAACAAAACAAATAACTAAAACAGCGCACAAAAAACAATACAATCACATAGAAACACAAGGTATAACAACTGCATAAATGAAAAGAGAAAAAAAGCAGGATATGAAGAGACAGAAAGGGTAGAAATTGAGAAAGTTAGTTTACTTTTGTTTTTCTTTCTTCTTTTTCTTCTTCACGTAGACGTATATGTGTCGAATTAGGAGTATGATCGATCTGTAATGTAGCAACGATGATCGAAACCTTTTGATGGGGAGTTCATAACAATTACAATTGTAAATAAGATTGGTTGAAAACGTAACGTTAACAGTATGATTTTTAATCTGAAATCTTCGGAATATCATTGAACCAATACGATCACGAAAAACATATGTACCAAAATCAGCATTATCACTAGTAGCTTGAGCATTAACTTTGACTGATTCAATAACATAGATAAATTCATCATTAGCCACATGAATATCATTTAACGAATTTGAATTCATTTCATCACTTTCTACGTTTTGTAATTCACATTCATGTACAATAGTAATATCAGCTGCTGCTGTAGATGAACATCGCGATTGAGGATCTGTAATTGTCGAGGTGGAAACGTTAGGAATATCATCAAAAATTGATTTTTCAGTTAAATTTTGTTTTACTAATTGATAAGGCGATGATGGTTCAGGCACAGCAACAGCAGTGAGATGTTGATCATCATTTATTACTGATTCAGGAGTTGTTGATGTTTCGATTTCCGGGGATGGTGGGAGACGTTCATTTGAATTTGATCTATTTGGATCAATAGCTGATGAAAAATTATGGTGACTGACAGCGGGTTGTTGTTTATCTTTAAGTAATGTTGAATTAAATGATGGTTGATAAGCTTGAGCGATAGCAATCTTAAATGAAGACCAATCAGGAATGTTCGGCTTGTTAAAACGAAACCATTTAAGCGGAGCATCAGTCAAATAAGATTGAACAGCCAAATATTTATTCGATGTTTGTAATTGTACTTGATCAAATATACATTCAGTATCTTGTAACCAGTGTATAACATCTTCATCACGAGCACCACCAAATGTAGTAAGTTTCATTATTTGTTCTTGGACGAAAATCAGCATGCTTTGTTCGTCCATACTTAATAATAATACTCTTGGTAAGTTGTAATAAGCGTGTTGAAATAATTTATAAGGAGACTGAATTATCACCAATAAACATATGTGTCAAATAAAGTACGAGTAAACAATAGGATCATAACATGAATATCGATAAGAACAATAAGTTGAGGATAACGAATATAAAGATTAACATTAATCTTGATATAACATCAAGAGAAAAAAAAAGAAACACCGGACAGGACGAGGAATAGAAAAAAAAACGAATCGAGGAAAAAAAAACTTATCGCGTTCGACGAATTGTGGTCGAAATGTATCACGAAGGGTCACGACACCAATTGTTAGATAGTTACGTTTACCTAACTATTTATTCTTCAAAAAACAACACTATCTGGAATCACTCGATCAACTCTAACTTCTCTTAGGTCTCCTGACCAATAGAGAGATAACATTAAGAAGAAGAGGTAGTGGTCGCAGATAGCGCCACTACCTAACAGGCGTCATTTTGTTTTTCGCATTCAATCCGCTCGAGTTGGATGAATAAATTATCTGAAATTCTTTAGAAAGTTCCTTACTGTTTCAAAATATCGTTCACAATTGATGTGCCTTAAAACTTCATGAGTCACTATATAAATACTATATCTTCGTAACAGCATATCAAATCATGACGACATGTTATTTTTCTTTAATTTGAAACTTGATTCATTTGTAAAAATATATTTCTGTAGGATACTAATCTCGAAGAAAAATGATTCTTCATATTAATCTTAACTTTTTCGAACTAATTTATTTGGAAAGAAGCTTATCTCTTTGCAGACCGTTTCTTTAAAAATATGTTCTTCTCATTTAGTTTCAATACATAAGAGCCATCTAATGGATAATTTGATTCATATATTGTTGGAAAATAAAGATTGCTCAATGAATATGATAAATCAAAATTTCTTCATTTGCATTAAAACAATATCAAAGTTCCAATGTAATATGTACAAAAAAATTCTATCTGAGCCTTGAAACTACAGTCAAGTTTTCATTATTCTTAAACTTTTCATAATTAGCACTGATACCAGTTTTATTTCTGAAGAATGCTATTTCATGTAGTCAACTTTCAGCAGCATTTCATGCCATTACCTCTATGAAATACTATTGAAATCAATATATATTTCCAACGACGAGAGTATATACGATAGGTCTGTCAGGTAGTCAGTTGACTTGTCTACAATCTATATGCTGGTACCGGACAGGATAGATATCAGTATCTACTCTATACTTGATATACATAAAAGCAGGGTGTGGGTGTGGGTTGGTTACTTACAGACGTGTCACGCCGACTGTTTCAATAAGGTATGGACATCCTTTATTGTTCACACATTTGGTGTCCATTTTTGTTAATTACTCTTTGGGACTGTCGTGCAGACAGGACTATTACTTTCTCATCAGTGTTATAGAATGTGTTATTCTCAATGGGCGTTGTATAACCTACTACTATCATTAATGTATCTGATCTGCTTCTAAATATTATCCGTATGTCATTGCGCAATGTGGTTACGTTTCTGAACGTAATTAATGTAAGGTAGAAATGTCTATCCTACCTTTTTCTATTCTTTCTTTCTTCTCTTTCTCTCTCTCTCTCGTGTGCACGTATATAAAGCGAGTACATTGTATTATACATCAGAACTGGAACAGAACTAGAACATTGGAGAATGGAGTAGTGTAACTAACATCTTATACACCGAGGATAGCGGTAACGCTACTCTTCCAGTTTCTCTTTGTGATCACAAATAAAAAATGAAAGCTGCAGCAGTAACGGATATAAACTATCCATTTATCATCAAACAAAATTCGTTACACCGACCTCATGCCCAAACCCACACCCATCCTCAGTTACATTTAGCCGATTTGTTTGTTAAAGATTCATTGGATGATTACTTTCAAAGAGCGACAAACAAAGACATAACGCAAAGCTCATAAAAAGTGTGCATTTTGTTTGCAAGTAAGAATGAGATTATTTATTTTGAAGGTTTCTTCCCTTTGCGTAAATGATAACAGGAAGAATATCCGTATATACACTCGTGGACAAAAGCCACCCCCTCCCTTTCGTTTCTGTGGTATCATACTTTGTATAAAATTTATTGCCGAGTAAAGATATGACTTAAGAGTTTTATTGCATTCTTATCCGTACACCATGGTGAAATAAAACTCTCAAGTCATATTTCTACTCGTCAATAAATTTTATAGAAAAATTGCTGTATCAACACACAGAGCAGACGTAGGAAAAAGAACTAAACAGTGAGAGAAAGAGGCCTGAAAATCGAAGGAAATTCTTTTCTTTTCTTTTCTTTTATTTCGCTTTATCCCAGACTAATTTACTTTATTCTATTTTAGATTATTTTATCTTAGTTCATTTGATTTCATTTGATTTTAAATTATCATATTTTCATTGTGTTTTAGTTTACATTAATTTATTTTATTTTACTTCAGATCGTCTGAACGGTTGATATTAATGAACAGTAAGTATTTTTTTTATTAATTAATTTAATTCCTTAATTATTAAGGATTGTCTCAGGTGATCATTGAAAGGAGAAGGAGACGATAGAGGACAGGATAGTACATTTCCTCTATTCTGTCGCACGGATTTTACCTTTTTCTTAGCTAGCATGCGACTATTCTACATCCAATCCAAAATATTTTTATATTTAGATAATCTCTAGATTCTCCTCTTTCAAACGATGTATTGGTGGTCTTTCATTTTTTATGTTTTCATTGTGAAATTATCAGTCTAAGAAAAATACCCTCACACGACATAATTAGGTGTTAGTTCCCTAATTATGACGCTTCTAACAAACTACGTAGAAAAACTCAATTTAAGAAAAAAACAATTCTTTTCATGATTTTGATCAGAAGTGGAGGGGAAGTATCTGAGACATTTTTGTAGATCGGATCGAGCTCTATCGCAATCTAAAGGTTCAAGACAACTATATTTTCATTTATTAAAATGCGAACCTTGAAATAACGATATCTAAAGTTAATGAAAACAAAGTTGTTCCTAATCCTGACGGTAACTTTGTTTTGTTCTACATTATAACAGTCAACTACTCCTATAATGTAGGACAAAATGAAAGCTACCGTCGTAATTACGGATAAAAAATCACTGAAAATTCATAGTTAGAGATAAAAACAGTTACCGTCAGAATTAGCGACAACTTTATGTGAAACACGATCGGAAAGAGAGTGCTGAAGTTTAATGGTAGAAATTCGGACCCATCCCGGTCTCCCTCCCCAAAAGTCTATGACCGACAAAAAAATGAGCACCACAGACCGTGACCGACAACATAGCAACGCGTCTTAAAGAAACAGTCATTGGGTGGATGAGTGGGCGGCTGTGGGATTGAAATAAATATGATACCCACACTCACATCCTCGTGCGAGTACAGGTAGAATTTAGATGGAAATTTTTTTCGACAAAATATATGTTATTCAATATAGTTTTTTGTGCGGATTCCGAATATCATGTTTATTTCGTATGAAAATCAATTGTTTATAGTCAAAATCTCGAAACACCAGTGTAATTCTTCTATTTTTTGACACCAATTTCGAAATAACTGATTTTCTCAGCAATGGAAAGGAATTTTGTAAAAAAGCGATCCATACCTTTGAAGCATAATCTCTGATGGTTCTAATGAGCTATAAAAGTCAGTTACACGTATTCACAGAAAAAGCTACATAGGTTTGCAAAATGAGGTAGTACTATCGGCACAGACACTGCATCGCGGTTTTTTAGAGTGGAGGTGTAACATGCGATAAAACTTCTAGACAACATTTCTAGTCTCAGTTTTATATGAGGAGTTCGAAAATCAGATTAGTGAGAATGAAAAGTCGAATACTAAAAAATAGAGCATTGTTTTCCCATAAGTCAGCTATTGTGCCGATTTTTACACCCTTTCAGTATTTTGCGTATTCCTCCACAAAAACTTTATCGAATTCCAAAAATAAGAAGATATTCGTGATCAGCGTTCAAAACTGTGTCTAGTGATGTACATATACGATAAAAATAAGGAGTTCTGTAACTTTGCATTATTCTAGCCTTACATAGAGTAGATGCCTGCCAAGGGAGTTTTCGAACTTCTACAGGGACCTACTAGTGTTTACAGTGGTGGGAGGCGACCCTGGGCTGCCGGTAGCCAACAGTCTGATTTTTAGGCTTGCAAACTGTCAGTTGGACGTTAAACAAGTCTTGCTAACGAAAAGAAACAAACGAAATGTGCGAACGCACAAAAACACGTATATTTCGGTGGATGGAATGTTCGATCATGTGTGAAACAATCAAAGAAACAACTAATCATCAAACAGCTGAAACAATATTGGATACAGGTAGCTGCACTAAGTGAAACTTGTATGTGTGATTCCGGGGTGAATTTTGTAAATGATTATACAAGGATTTATTCTGGTGTTCAAAGTGATAATAAAACCAGAAAAGC